TTTGTCTTCTGCTGCACTTGACCAAAACCCTACATATTTTCTGTTTACTGCTTGCATTAAGAATCTTCCTTCTCTTTCTGTAAGGTTTGTTTCTGTAATACCTAGTATTGTGACTTCTTTTTCTTCTGCCCAGTCTAGCAGACTATCAAGTTTCTATCCTTTGGTTTTGAGTCCATTAACATTATAACATGCTATTTTAATCTTCTTTTTTCCTTTTTTCCATCTTCTTTCAGTTGTTCTTGTATTGCCTTTGCTGTTTCTTTTCTTTCTTTTCCCTTTCTTCTTCTACTTCTTTTTTCTTTTGGATGAGATTGTAACTTCCCTTTCCTGTTTTCAAAACTTCTTCTTTCATCTTGTAGGAACTCTCCTATTGCCTCATCCATATTCATAAATTCAACTAAGGCACCTTTAGAAGTGATTGGCTATGTCTTCTCTTATCAAGTCATCTGCTTTTTCTAATTTCTCTAGTCTTTCTAGGATTCAGCCTAGCATATCTTCTATATGTGTGTTCTTCTCTTGCTGATGCATGTTGTCTTCTTTTCTTCTCATCTCTCGACTTTCTTCTTTTTTATTATCTATACTTTCATATCTTCTTTGGTTTTTAATGTTATGCCTTAGGCTTCTATTTTCTTCTTCTAATATTCGAACCTTTGGTTTTAGGTCTCTCAAGTCCTTTTTCCTATTTGTACATGCTTGGTTCCATTGGTTTCTTTTGCTATCTTTATCTTCTTCTGCATTAGAATATTGGCTTGATCTGTCCTAGCTTCTTCCTCTTTCATTTTGAAACTTCCTCTTTCTCTTAGCTCTCTTTTTCTTTCATTAACTCAGTATACTCCAAAGTTATTGTACATGATTGGTTTTGACTGTGCTGCCATCATGTCTTCCTCTGTTGTGAAAGTGATCAGCACTGTTCTTCTTTGGTTTTCATTCTGATTTGGTGAAATGTATACTAACTTTGCTCTTTTACTTCTCAGACATCGCAATAATAAAACTTCTGAGGCATTTTCAGGTAATTCTGTTAGTTTGGCTGTATGTTTTCTTTGTCCTTCTCTTGCTTCGTGGTCTTCTCTTCCACTTGTTACTCTCACCAACTTTTTATTGTCTGCTGGCAATGACCATGGAATATCCTCTTCCTTTATGCTTTGTGTTTGTATTATTGCTAAAGCTTTGTACTTGAATCTTTTAATGCATACTATCTGTGCATCTTTGATTCTTCTGCAGATATATTCTACTTCTTTTTTGTTTATATTCACTAGTAGGTCCCATACTGTTAGATAAGTTATGTTGTTATTGGGTCTTTCTTCTTCCTCATATTCATCATTATATGTATCTTCTCTGTTAACGTTTACTTTAACCTTCTCTTTCCTACATCTTATTGTATGTTTTACTTTATTTTGATGTTTCTTCTTGCAGTCTTTAGGATTTTCTTTTTTCTCCTTTTTACTTTTTTCCTCTTCTGGTATCATCTTGTACCAGTCACTCTCTTTTTTATTAATTCTTTGTATTACTTCATTTCTGCCATAATTGCAGTTGAAGACTACTTCTATTCACAGATTTTCTCTCTTAAATACTTCGTCTATGTCTTTCACATGTGTATTATCTTTTAGAGACCATCTAATAAACTTTATACGTTCTTCGTTTGTTTCGCCAAGAACTTCATATGCTGGTATATTAGCGATTAAGTTGTTGCCTTGATTACAATTTCTTCTGCTTGGCACCCATATACTTTGTTCTAATGCTATTTCTACAATGTCGATTTCTTTCTCTGTTTCTTGCTTTCTTCTTTTTTGCCTTTCTTTTTCTTCTTCTAGTGTGTTTTGCCTTGATTGCTTGCCATTTATTTCTATATCTTCTTGCTCATTCATTCTTTCTTGTTTTTTTGACTTTTTGTTTCTGACCAGAGGGTCTCAATATAGCTTTGTTATTAGCTTCTATACTTATCACTGTTTCTTTTTCATTTTGTGTTGTATCAATTTCCTCTTGTTGTCTTTCTGTATTTCCAAGTTTTTCCTCTGTGGTTCTCTTTTTTTCTTGCTTCTGCTTGATGTTTTCTTCTTTATTTATTCTTTCTATTTCTTGTTGCTTTTTGTTGTAATTGTGCTGTGTTTGTTCTTTTTCTGCATCTTGGCTTTTTATAGTTATGTTTAGCTTTTTTTCAGGTTGTTCCTCTTTAGCTCTTTTCAGTATTTCTCTTGTTAGTCGTAAAAGAGCTACCTCATATGGGTCTTGCTCTGTTAGTATTGCTACAATTCTGTCTTCTTTATCTGGTACTGCATATGTTTTGCTTGCCTTGTTAAAGAAAACCTTGTTGTGCACACTATTCATTGCACAGTATGCTCTTCTTATAAAAATGGTTTGCAGGCTCTCTCTATATTTCTGTGACATGCTTTTGTCTATTTTGTGGCTTATTTCTTTAGAATGTTCTGTCACGTGTTTTCTATATTCTGTTTACCTGTTGTTCTATCAATGCTTGTCTATACTGTTTGTTTACTATTTTGCACATATTTGTTTTACCTAATTTGTTACGTGTTGTTTGTTTGATGTAAACAGATCAACATACAGGGTCTGTGACAGTCCTCACAATTTTCATTTGCTTGCTAAATTTTTCAAAAAAAAACTTGAGTTTTCCTCTACTGTTGCTTTGCTAGTACTTGCAGTACTTCTTATTACTAAGCTCATTTGCTGTTCTTCTTATTGCTGTCTCTTTCCTTTAGTGCTGTTTGTGACCTTTCTTATTGCTGATTATGCAGAAAATCTATTTTCTTTTCTACCAATTTCGTGTTTAAGTGATCATTGGGGAGAGTTGATGTTTTTTTTTTTATATGTATAATATGTTTATTCATTATGTTTATTATTCATATATTAATACTATTAGTTTCTTTTCATTTTCATACACAGTTTTTATTCACAATTCAAACACCCAAAGTTGCCATGTGAGGACGACTTGTAATGGCACAACTCCATGCTATAGTTTTTTTGGTACATGTGGCGCTGATTTTGTTTCCTGTAGTACTGGATGTCAAGTGAGATTCAGTGAATCCAGTGCTTGCAACCTATAACTTTGGTTTATTGTTTCTCTAAAACCATGCCTGTTAAAAATAAAATATGCTAATATTTAATTTCCCAATTCACAAAAATAGTAATTAGCATTAGTTATTTATCTTTTTCAAGCTTCTTGTCATTTATATTTCTGTATACTGTATTACCAAAAAATTTATTACTAGAATAACCATCTAATTACTGTCATCCTTCTATATAGTCACCTCTCATATAATCATATTATATGTAATCACATTTACATTTAGGCTAAACTATGAATTTAATTTATAAGTAATAGCTCTTCATATAAGCACAACTCCTTTATAAGCATATTTTTTAAAAAAATTACTATGTGCCCAACTGTGTAATCATATGGGAGGACGACTATATTAGGTCTTAAACTTCATAATTAAAATTAAATAAATTTCTATTGTTTATAAAAATTACATTAATAATAAATTCATAAAGAATGAAACTCTTGGTTCTTTTATTATTCTTTTTGTAAGCACATATTTATTCTAATATTGTAATCTATTAAGACATAATATCATTAAAACCAATTGTAAATTTCTTATTTCAAGATTTATTGCTGCTTAATATTAATGTTACTTGATAAACTTATTTTTTGTAATAATAATTTTGTTAATGGTTTCATCTAATGATTATGAAGCAAAATTAATTGATTTATTTAGTAAAATATAAAAATATCTGTATATACTGAATCTGTGATAGGTTATGCTAATTATCAAATCAAAAAAAAAAACACAAAAATCAAAATTTATCACAAGCTTTAATTTACTTAATATTTGATATCTAAAATTTTTTTTATATAACAAAATTTTATGCTAAAAACTTTTATTTAGAAGTCAAACTGTGATTATAATAGTAAATTTTAAAATATTTGTAATTTTCTAATTTTCTAATTTTACAATTCTTTTCAGAGTTTTGAAACCATGGTTTAGCAAGTAAGCTTTTAAACCTTTTACAAACAAGATTAACAATTTGAGTCAAACTAGAGACAATTTTGTTTCTATAATTTATTAGAGTCATTAATCAGATATAAAACCTTGTAGAAAAGTTCAAATATAGGTATAAATTTGAAATAAAAAATTCTTAAAAAAAGATTTAAATATAAGTGCAAGCACTATGCATAATAGTAATATTATAAAAAGTTAAGTTAGAGCAGTACTAATATTTTATACTTTTTAATATAAACAGTACTAGCATCTTTATATCTAACTTATAAAATATTTGCTTGGAAAGATAATCTATAGATTATGTAAAAATAAGTTTTAATTAGAATTTAAAAGAAAATTTGATTAAAAAAGTAATCAGAAAATAATCAATTGAAATAATAAGAAAAGCAATAAATATAAGAATAGTTTGTAATAAAAATTAACCTAATCAAAATTAAAAATACTTCTAATATAGTTAAATAATCTGGTTATAAAAAAAAAATTTTGAAGATTAATATAAAGTTTTTTGTATAAAAAAAAATTATTAAATTAAATTCTGATTATATTTATATAAAAGTTTATAATAAACAAGATTAAAATTAACTAACTAATATAAGATAAAATTTGCAAAATAGTATAATATTACTAAGTTAATATAACTTTTTGAGTATGATCATAATTGTTCTACAGATATTATAAAATAAATTAAAAGTTTATAATATCTTTTAAACTATATTCCAGGCAAATTTGTCTAAAAAATTAAATTGTATTTAGTATTTCTTAAATAAAATAATAATTTATTAATAATATAGGATATATTTTGCTTATAAAATATATTCTTAAAAACATATTTTATA